CTTTCTGTTTCTATGCATTTGATTATTTTAGATATAGCATATAAGTGGAATCATGCTGTATTCATCCTTCTTTAACTGGCTTGTTTCACCTGGCATAACGTCCTCAGGGTTCATCCACGTTGTCACATATAGCAGGATTGTCAAGGCAGTGTAATATTTCATTGTATGTGTATAGCACAATCTCTCTACCCATTCCTCCATCAATGAACATTTAGATTGTTCCCACATCTTGGCTATCATAAATAGTGCTGTGATGAACATTGGAGTGCTAATATCTCTTTGAGATCCCAGTTTTAAATCTTTTGGATAAATACCCAGAAGTGAGATTGCCAAATCATTTGTAGCTCTATTTTTAATTTTTTGAGGAATTGTCATGCTGTTTTTCATAGTGGCTGGACTATTTTGCATTCCCATCAACAGTGTACAAGTTTCCAATTTCTTCACATCCGCACCAATGAATCTTTTTGATGATAGGATTCTAACAGGTGTGAGGTAATATCTCATTGTGGTTTCAATTGGCATTTCTCTGATTATAAGTGATATTGAGCATTTTTTCTATGTATGTTGACCTTTTGTATGTTTTCTTTGGAGAAATGTCTATTCCAGTCATTGGCCCACTTTTAATTGGATTATTCGTTCTTTGCTATTGAGTTATAGGAGTTCTTTATATATTTTGGAAACTAACCCCTTACATGATATGTGGTTTGCAAATATTTTCTTTCATTCTGTAGGTTGCTTTTTTCCTCTGTTGATTGTTTCCTTTGATATGCTAAAGCTTTTTAGTTTGATGTAGTCTCACTTGTCTATTTTTGCTTTTGTTGCCTGTGCTTATGGTTTCATATCCATGAAATCATTGCCAAGACCGATGTCATAGTTTTTCCATATATTTGCTTCTAGGAATTTTACCGTTTCAAGTCTTACATTTAAGACTTCAATGCATTTTGAGTTGATTTTTCTTTTATGGTATAAGTTGAGGGTCCAATTTCATTATTTTGCACGTGGCTATCCAGTTTACCCAACACCATTTGTTGAAGAAACTTTCCTTGCTCCATTTTGTGTTTTTGGCATCCTTGTCAAAGATCAGTTGACAGTATACATGTGGACTGATTTCTGACCTCTCTATTCTGTTCCATTAGTCTATGTGTCTGTCTTTATGCCAGTACCATACTGTTTAATTACTGCACTTTTGTAATATATTTTGAAATCAGTAAGTATGATGCCTCCAGCTTTGATCTTCTTTCTCAAGATGGTTTTGGCTATTTGGGGTCTTTTGTGATTTCATATGAATTTTTGTACTGTTTTTCTATTTCTGTAAAAATATGCCATTGGTATTTTGAAAGAGATTGCATTGAACCCATAGATTTCTTTGAGTAGCGTGGACATTTTAACAATATTAAACCTTCCAATTCATAAACACAGATGTCTTTCCATTTGCTTGGGTCTTCGTTAACTTCTTTTGTCAGTGTTTTATAGTTTTCAGTGTACAAATCTTTCACCTCAGCTTATTTCTATTTTATTCTTTTCGGTGCTGTTGTAAATGTGATTTTCTAATTTCCTTTTCAAATAGTTTATTATCATAACCTATTTTTTAATTTTAATTTGTATCCTGCAACTTTGCCGAATTTGTTTATTAATTCTAACAGTGTTGTGGAGTTTTTAAGGTTTTCTATATATAAAAAAATCATACTATCTACAAACAGGGACAATTTAACTTCT